AAGAGGTGAATAATAGAATTTGTTAACGTGGGTCTTCAGGAAGAAGTTAATAGGAGGTGGTAGAGATCATAATCCATTCTCTGAGAAAAAAAAAAAAATGTGAGTAGTTTTCTATGCAGAGGCCCCAACCAGCACTTCCAAACATCCCATTTCTCCCGTTCACTAAGTGGAGGTGATCCCTAGATGAGGTGACTGGGAGAATCACTCCAGCACAGCCTTCGTCCATCCCCTCCTGTGAGGCTGTGACAGCTCCTGCCACACCGTTTACAGTAGGGAGACTCTTTCTTCCCTCCAGCCCCTTTCACTGAGCTCCTGCCTCCTGTGCTCACCTGCAGGCTCTGCCACCTGGAGAGGTGTCTGCAGGCTGGCAGGTGCAGGCTGAGCTCACTCAGGTGACAGTGCTTCTGCTCCTGGTGTCTCTCACCACTCTCCTAGGGCCAGTGGGATAATCTCTCTGGGTGTGATGCCCGAGAGTGCGAAGTTCAAAAGAGCACACAAACATGCAGGTCGGCCACAGCTAATGGGTCACAGGGGGAGGTGGCCTCACTCCAGAACACTCTCACTTGTCAAGCTCATGCCGCCGGACTAAAAGGCTTTCGTCCAAGATGTCACTGCCATTCCAACCTCTTCTGCCATGGTTTGGGTTTGGAATGCCTCCCAGAATCCCAAGCGTGGAAGACTCGGTTCCCAGCGCAGCAGTGTGAGGCTTTGGAAAATGATTAGCTTAAGAGGGCTGTTGCTTTATCAGTAGATGAATCAATTTGATGGATTATAATTTGGATGGACTACTGGCAGGTGGTGGAAACTGTAGGCAGGTGGGGCGTGGTTGGAGGGAGTAAGGTCACTCGAGGTGGACCCTCGGGGACCACTTCTCATCATGACCCTTGCTTCTTTCTCTTGCTTCCTGGCCATCAGGAGCTGAGTAGCTTTCCTTTGCCATGATATTCTGCCTCCCCTCCCCTCAGACCCAAAGCAATGAATGGGCTGAAGCTTCTGAAACGGTAGGGTCAGGCAGCAGCCACCAAAAGGAGGCAGATTAAAAAGGCTGCAGAAGGAGGCTTTACTGAGATTTCACTCCTGGCGAGACCCTCCAGACCAACAGGGTGGGTCGGGGAGAAGCGCATGGTGGGGCTCAGCCAGACTGGAATTTTTATTGGGCTTAGGGACAGGAATGGGGGGGGCGGTTTGAGAGTCCCTTGTCCTACTGGGGTTGGTTGGGGGAGCTTGCTGAGATCCATTGGTCAGGAGACCCCGCTGATTGACAGGCAGTTCTGTCCACACCTGGCTCTTTTGACGGAATAGGGTTTTTGCTGTGACTAACCCCAGCTATGTAGTTCAGAAGCCTTTGGAATCAGTTTATGGAAGAAATTTGGAAAAGTGTGAAAAGTGTGAAGATGCAAGATGGAGAAGTCTCAGAACATGGAGCACTTAAATGGATGATTCTGCTGTAAGTTGGGAAGACCACAATGCTGGTACCCACGGGGATAGGAAAGACTGTGCTGAGGTTTCAGATGGGAAAGAGGACCCTATGGGGAACTGCACTTGAGGCTATTCAAGTTGTTACAAAGAACTTGCCTACATTTTGCCAATGTCCTGACACTTTGTGTCAGGCTGAATTTAAAGGTGATGGACCAATTAATGTGATGGAGAAAATTTTAAGGCAGCATAGCGTTCAAGCTGTGACATGGATATCACTAGTGACTTAGCCAGGATTCCTGTTAGAAATGGGACCAAAAATCAGAGTATAAGGATGTAGCCATTTAGCTAGAAAAGTGTCTATATAATTTGGACCAAGGAAGTTGTTCTTGCTGATGAGATTTGTGCCATTTTAAGAGAGGCCAAGGACTTTGAATG